AATGAGCAAAGTTCCAAAAGATTTTAACAAGCCTGAGGGGTATTACTTTGGAATGATCAAGAATAGTTTATGTGTAGACACAAATGTGGGGGGAGAGAAATCTCTTAAGAAAAATAATTTTTCTTGGAGATGGTGACAGGGCAAGAACAGAAAAGAAAAATTGCATCTCCTCTGAGCTCTACTCAGCTCAATTAGTGAGATGTCACAACTTGAGAGCAGTTTGGGTTGGCAGACAGGCATAAAGAAAAAAAAAAAAAAAGGGGAAGAACACTAGCCCTTAGGAGCCATTTCAAGCTGCCTCTGAGATGGGGTACAGTGTGCCTGGGTTTTGGAATAACTACTACTATGTTAGGGAGAGGTGAAATGGGGCAGATAGTCTATTAAATCTTCCCAAATAACCCTGAGGAATGAATCCCGGTGCTTCCCTTAATTCTATGGCACATGATATCTCATACTTAAAGTTTTTTCAAAGATGCAACACCAACACCCCTCCCCACACAAGAATGGTACACCTCGATGTACTTAATCATGGATAAGCTTTGGCTGCCTTCCACTTTAATGCTCAAGAACAGGACTTCTTATTCCATTACAGTCTGGGTCTCCTGCCAAAGTACTAAGTCCAAAGTGAACAGGACACTGTCAGGAATGATTTGGACTAGCCTAGAATGAGTGGGAGTTGGGCTGTTCAAAAAGAAGCAAGAAGCCAAAACTGGTTAAGTCAAATTAAAGCTTAAGTGTAACCATATTTTTCTAGGTAAGCAGATCATTCAGATAGACTGACAGTTTCCACATCATAACATTCTATTAATTAATGATGTAGTATTAAAATGAGCATAAGCTCTTTCTCTATAGAAACATGTTTTCATCCACAAGCCTCTTCTAAGAAAGAAATATTCAGGCTAAAATATTTCTATGTATCTTTGGAAAGAAAGTATTCTTTAAAACATTATTACCTTACTATGAAAAATAAAATGCATTATACTCATTTCCAAATTTAGACCACTTCTCTCTGGGGAGAAGACACACCTTTAAAATAGCAATTGTTTCTAAAAAACACACATTTTTAATTTATATCCTCTCATTCAGTTGCAAACATAATCAAAACTCAAAAATATCTTTAAGTAGGCAGCATACATTTTTAAAAAGTATAGGTAATGAATCTCAATGTATCATTTTCTCCCCCCATACACACTGTAAACACACAGATTTGCAACCTATAAACAAAATATAATTTCCTGGAACTCTTGCCTTCAATCATGTGAAGAACTCATAAGGGGAACATAAGTCCAACAGAACTTTAATGTCCCTATATTTAAGCATTTATTAAGGAGAATTTCAAAAGAAAAAAATAGCAAAAATATGAAGTACAAATAATCTACTCAACATATTATAGACTGAAAAAAAATTAAAATGTATTATGTATTTTGTTATGCACAGGAGAGTCAAGGGCATCAGCCAACTGACCTGATAATCCAATCAACTATTTAGAAGTTTTCTGCATTGATAAGAGTTTTGGGTAAACTGCATGCTGGAGCTATTTAGCATCACAAATAGACTTAGCAGAAAGCTATTCAAGTATTGCTGTCACTTTGGCACTTCTAGAGAAAAAGCTATCACATTGATAGGTTTGGGTTTAAAAGGGAGGCATTTTATGAGAGATTATAAAAACTGATTCCACTAACAGGTTCAGAACAGTTTATGAGCTTGTGTACATAATGCCGACCTTTCTTTTTTTTTTTTTATCACTGAGATTTCAATGGGGATCCAACATTCAGGAGTTTTCAGACGAATCTTGAAAGACTCTTTGGGCAATAATAGTTTGGAGGTTCCTATTTCTTTCTTCTAGAAGGGCTAATGTTTTTGAGAATTTAAATGGCACATCATAGCATAGGAGACCAGGGTTCTAACATTTTTTCTACAGAACTAGCCACCCACTCATTCAGAGAAGGCTTCTTTTAAAAAAAAGCATCTAGTAAATATAACTTGACAATACACAAGGTAGTGCACAAGGGGCTGAATGAGTTACAAAAGTAAAAAGACCTTGCCTTCACAAGACCTCCCGTTCTACAGAGAAATGAAGGAGAAGGATGAATAAGCATATGTAGGTATGCTGACATTTACATAGGCATATGTATTATACATACATATATACAAGTTGTATGTATGTTTACATATATATTTATGAACAGTACGTTTGGCTCAATCTGACATATACAGATTTTTCCTCTTGCACAGGTACTAAAGGTATGTGCCTCTCTTACTGCTAAAATTTGGTTATATATTTTTCTAAGCTCTTACTTAATGTGAAGAGAACAGAGAGTATTACCCTGGTCCTAAAAATAGGAAAATAAATCTAAACCTGAGAACTAATTGGAAAGGAGACAAATAACCTAAGGCCAGTAGTAAAACTGAACTTTACAAAAAAGCCTCAGTGGGTGTACCTCTTAACTAGATCATGTTCCAGCTTAGAGAAACAAAAAGCCATCTTTTCTAAAGACGACTTGCCATAAATAATGGAAGCTGGGGAATATTTCCTCAGTAATGAAAATTCCTGTCAACCCAATCTATTTTCAGATGAGTTAAGAAAAGATGGATAACTTTAAATAGATTTCTATATATTATGTAATGTGCGCACACACATACGTACACACACACACACACACAGGGGATGCTCTTATATTTAAGAGCAAATATATAATGAAGTCAGCAAAGATTGCTTTCCACAAATCTACTTCCAGGTAAAAGTGTGCTTGCTTCAGAAAAGGAATTTCTCTAAGGAGAATTTTTTCTAAATTTAGAATTTTTTTTTTTACAACAGTATTCTCCCTTGCCATTCACAGACTTAGAAGTGAGAGGGAAGCCTTACTACTTAATGCCCCTATGAATTAACTTATGTTAAAATACAAAGTATGGATTAGGGTGAAGTTTTTCAATTCAAGTTGAATTGAGCCACACACATACTAGACATCTGAAACCTCTTTATAGCAGAATATACACCACACCAAATTTGATTTCTCATCATTAATTCCCAGGATTGGTTTTGGAGCTTAATAAACAAATGTCTCTGGAATGCTAAAAGTCTCTTCGTGAACTCAAGCATAAGAAGTATCTCTTGTAGACAGCCCCATCCTCACATAATTTTCACTTATGGAATTTATCTAAGTTATTCTTAAAGTTGGGTTCAATTTTTTTCAGCTTGTACTACTTCTTAAGGTTACCAGTTTTATACATCAATCAGGCATTTTGAAAAAGTTTCTTTTAAGTCACAACAGGTTGACAAGTATCTTTATCTTACTCATACTCTCACATTTGATGGACACACTTCTACACATTTGCCTTTGCATACTGAAAATAGAGGCTTCAAGTCTGCACTCCAATGAAGTCCCTTTAATCCCTTGGTAATTTCCTAGTTCATAAAATTAGCATATTAAAAATTGGTATTTAACATAAGCGTTATTAAGGTTTAGCTTTCACTGAAGGTTTGGAGAAAGAGTAAGAATTACCATGCATTGTTTATAAATGCTTAGTAGTTATTCTTCCTTTTAAATGCCTGGAAAATCCCCTAGGGAGGGTCACATAGTCCTCATATATAGAATTCACTTGAATATTTTCCTTGTAATGATAAACCTGTCTTATACCTTTTGTTGTACTAAGGTAAGGTTTATTTCCTTAGACCATCTCTGCTCTGATTGTTTCCTTCCTGTTTTTATTAATCATATCCTAATCTTCCCTTCACCAAACTATTGTACTAGTGGAATTTTGGGGGTTTCTTTGTTTTTGCAACCTCTATGTTGGTTTTATGATCTTCTGCCTTGCCTTTTCCCACAGGTTTGCATTAGCTTTGAGAGAAGAAACTATGGTCACTATTTTACCACATAACCTTAAAAAACAAGAGTAAAATACTCTGCTATCTTAGAACATAACTATTTTTTGGTAGAATGGTAACTTTTCACTTTTCAGTGAGTTATGGGTCTTTTAGCAAAATTTAGGAAAAAAAATAGCCAGAGATATTGGCCAATATTGACACATGATATCTATTTGTATGGATTTTCCTTCCATTAAACAATCTGTATGGAAAGTCTAATCAAAAGGGGGATCATAAAGCAGAAATTAATAGAATCAGTAATAGAAGCATGCATAGCTATTCTGTTAAAATAGCTGCAGGATCACAAAGGAACTATATACACATATAAGACACGCTTCACAACTTTAAGGAATTTTCAACTATCACGTGTGCTCTATCTATTCAATTGATTAAAAAAATACATATCAGTCCTAATCTGATAACCACTATGCAATCATGGGAGAAATTTGAGGTCTTTATTAAAATTCTTAACTAAGTCTTAGACTGTTATATGGGTAAAGCCAACTAACATACTCTAATCAATTTTGCCTAGGATGGTTGTTTTATTAGACATCTATATGGAAGGGTATCCTTCAGGGTTCCATTTATGAAAATAGCTTTGACTTTGGGGAAACAGGCAGAGAAATAGCTCAGAAAAGACATGAAAAAATTGGAAACTTTGGTGATGTTGAGAAGAAAAAAAACAAATGAAGAGTTTGGTGAAGGAAAAGAGTACCCCATTTCTGGAGTACATGGATGAAACCCCTAACTATACTTATTGCCAAAAAGTACTTGACATTCTCCCAACATTAGTATTCATGTATTTTTTAGTACTTATATTTAAATATATATACAAACAAATCACTTTTATAATATGAATAATCAAGTTACACTTCAAGACCATATAAAATCAGTTGGATTATTTCTCATAAACATTATTACTACTAGCAACACCAAGTTGGTCTCTGCATTACCTAGGAGTGGGCAAGGCTTCTATTACTAACTCTGTTATATTACTTTATGTCCTCTTAACCCTCTTTTGAATTTGTGGTAACTTTCTATGAGCTACTTGTAAAAAGACAATGACTTCAATTTCCACAAGAAATAATCACGTGAGTAATTTTTTAGCTTTTTGTTGTTGCTTCATGTACTTTACCTGATTCTTGAGATCCAGTCTGGGACATGGGCGACCTCCATTGTAAGGTTTTTCTTTTAGCCATTTGGACCGAATTCGCACTCCAATTCCACAAGACGAGCTGCAAGACCCCCAACTAGACCAGTCACTTAACTTGCAATCAAATGGGCATGGGATGACACATTCTTCTTGAATATAACCTGAAAGAAAGAGATTTAAGTGAAGGGAGGAAAATCTACTCAAAATGAACTGATCAAATTTACTTGTTTACAGAAAGTAAACAGTCACAGCTCAGATTGTTCAATAATATCACTGTAATGACTTCAGTGATTTTCTATTCAAATAAACAGACAAAGGTTTTAAGAGATAGGTAATATAGTCACATCTGCCTTCCAAATTTGTGCCATCTAACACTTTATAGCCAATTCTGGGAGGGAAGAGCAAAGAAAAGTGTAGTTAGTCTTGTTTTCTGTTAGGAAGAAATAAAGTGTTTCAGGGCTAATGATGGCACCATCTTCCCTCACTGAGCCTTGGGTTCTATAATTCCCACAACTCACCATCTGGGATCAGGGTGCATAAGAGAGTACATCTTTTTTAGTATCCATGATCTGCAAGGCTTTCACTAAGAGTGCGCCTGATTTTCACTTCCAGGTAGTGTGGCTTGGAAGTGGGAGAACGACAGAGAGTAGACCACAAATTAGGAGGAGCAGGATATTATTTACCAACTACAGGAACAGTGAAAAGTTGTATGATGAGATTAGACTGGAATCAAGAGACATGAGTGGGAATGCACAGGTAGATGTTCTAGTTACCTGGACTTACTCCTGTCCCAGCCCACTTCTTGCTACAGTCTTTCTCTGGATGATCTCATTATTTAACTATCACCTCCACTGATCATTACTAAATATGTATTTCCAATTCTAATCTTACTACTGACTTCTCTAAGACCTACTGATCCACTCTAATTAATTGAATGCCCAATTATCTCCAAATTCAACATATCTAAAACTGAAGCCATCAATTTCCTTAAAAAAAAGGCTAATTCTCTTGTATCATTCATCTTAACTAAGTGCAACATATCTGATCCCTGTACCCTGGTGTCCATGCCTGTATAATCTCAACCCTTTGAGTTTGGGCAGAACCTTTGAATATAATAGGATTCTACTCCCATGATTAGGTTATGGGGTATACAGCAAAAAGGAAGGGAATTTGTCAATATAATAATACGTCAAATTAGTTGATTTTGAGATAATCAAAAAGGAGATTGAGAATTTGGCCCAATATGGTGGCATAGAAGACCCTGAACTCACGTCCTCTGTGGACACACCAAATCTACGCCTAGTTATATAGCAATTCCTCCCAAAGAACTGGGAGCTTATCGAACAACTTCTGCACAACAAGAGAGAGACCATGTAGAGAATGGCAAGACAGATGAGACACAGTAACTAAAGAAACACCCATGCCCAATGCTGTGAACTACAGTGGGAAAAGACAGTACTGAGGGACCATGGGCAGGTTCGTCTATCTAGGGCACAGAAACAAACAAACATGGTTTAAAAAAAAGCAACTAGAATTAAAAGAAAACAGCCTTAGAACCCTGCCAAATAGAGAGCTGCTAGAACTCTCTCCAGGTTGTAGAGGCTTGCTAGCATCCTCCATCCTGCAGACAGGAGCAGGGTCCAGGCATCCTAGCCAGCCTGCTACCTCATCAACTCCTGGGCTCCTAGTCTACACCAGCCCCAGATGCCCTGGGGGCACAGAAAAAAGCCACAGTTTAAAAGAGCAACTAGAATATAAAGGATCCAGCCCTAGATCTCTGCCAAACAGTGGGAGGGCTGCTAGAACTCTTTCCAAGTTGGAGGGGCTGGCGAGTGCCACAGTTTATGTTCTCCTTCCATCTTGATCGTGTGGACAATAATAGGATCCAGGCATCATAGCTGGCCTACTGCCTCAGTGAGCCTCTTGCCCCTAATCAACACTAGCTGTCTCATCAAGGAGGCCCCAGGGCAGCCCATACTGGGACACACCTGGTCCTCACTCACTAGCTCCAGTCATCTTACCAAGGTGGCATAGGTACAAAGCACCCCAAAACACTCCAGGTCTGCACCACTTAGGCTCCACACAACTTGGCAGGGCAACCCCTACATGGAGTGCTTTGGGAACACCTGGCCCACTTCCACCTCAGCTCCAGCCACTGTGCCAGGATGCCTTGGTGTGGAATACCCTGGGACACACAGCCCATGCCCACACAGGCTCCAGTCATCCCACCAGGGTGCCCCCTGTGCAGAGTGCCCTGGGACACCCAAGCTTGCATCCACTTCAGTTCAGCTGTCCTGCTAGAATGGTCCCAGCCTGGAGACTCCCTGGATCTCCAGCCCACAACAGCCACAGCTCCAGCCAGCCAAAGTCACCAGACATACCTGTAGTTTAGGTAAAGTAGCTGTTCTGCTGAATTCATACAAACAAAAACAAAGTCAAGCAAAATGGGGAGACAGAAAATATGTTCCAAATGGAAAAATAAGGCAAAACCTCAGGAAATGAACTAAGTGATATGGAAATGTGCAATATGCCTGATAAAGAATCGAAAGTAATGGTCATTAAGATGCTCACCAGATCAGTAAGAGGAGTGGAAGAACTCAAGCAGAACTTCAAGAAATAAAAAACATAAAAAATAATAATCAGAGTTGAAGAATACAATAACTGATATGAAGTATACACTAAAGGGAATCAATAGAAAATTAGAGGATGCAAAAGAATGAATCAGTGATCTGGAAGACTGGGCAATGGAAAGTGACCAAACTGAATAGCAAAAAGACATAAGGAAAAAAACCCGAGAATAGATTAAGGGATCTTTTGGACAACATCATGTAAACAAACATATGTATTATATGGGATCCCAGATGGAGAAAAGAGAATAAAAGGGGCAGAAAACTTATTTGAAGTAGTAGTAGGTAAAAATTTTCCTAACCTGGGGAAGAAGAGATATCCAGTTTCAGGAAGCACAGAAGATGAACCCAAGGAGGTCCACGCCACGACACACAATAATGAAAGTGGCAAAGATTAAAGATAAAGAAAATTTTAAAAGCAGCAAGAGAGAAGCAACTTTTATGCACAAGGGAATCCCCATAAAGCTATCAGCTGATTTTTTTTTTTTTTTTAACAGAAACTTGGCAGGCCAAAAATGAGTGGCATGATATAGTCAAAGCGCTAAAAGGAAAACAGACAGACAAAACAAAACCTATAACTAAGAATATTCTATCCAGGGGTGCCTGGGTGGCTCAGTTGTTAAGCGTCTGCCTTCGGCTCAGGTCATGATCCCAGGGTCCTGGGATCGAGCCCCGCGTCAGGCTCACCGCTCTGCAGGAAGCCTGCTTCTCCCTCTCCCACTCTCCCTGCTTGTGTTCCCTCTCTCACTGTGTCTCTCTCTGTCAAATAAATAAATAAAACCTTAAAAAAAAAAAGAATATTCTATCCAACAAGATCATCATTCAGAATTAAAGGAGAGAGAAAGTTTTTTCCAAACACAAGTCAAAAGGGCAAATCCTGCATGGAGCACTGGGTGTTATGCACAAACAATGAATCATGGAACACTACATCAAAAACTAATGATGTAATATACAGTGACTAACATAATAAAAATTTAAAAAACAAACATACAGAGATGCTGAGTCACTATGATGTACACCTAAAACTAGTGTAATATTGTGTGTAAAACCCAAATAAGAATTTTTTTTAAAAAGAAAAAAAACAAAAAAAGAGTTCATCACCACTAAACTTACCTGAGAAGAAATGCTAAAGGAACTTCTTTAAGTAGAAAACAAAAGGCCATAAAGAGAAAAAAAAGAAAGAAAGAAAGAAAAGGGGACTCAAAATAAAAAAGATGTAAAATGTGACAACATATACATGAACTGTGGAGGGGAGAGTAAAAATGTTCTTTTAGAATGTGTTGAAGCTTAAGTGACCACCCACTTAATATGTTATAGTTGCTAGACATTTAGGATGTTATATATGAATGTCATGATAACCACAAACCAAAAACCTGTAATGGATACATAAAAAAATAGAGGAAAAAAGCCAAGCATAAGACTATAAAGTCATCAATCAAAGAAGAAAGGAACAGAGAAATACATAAACAACCAGAAAACAGTAAGATACATAACTATCAATAATAATACATAATACATAACTATCAATAATTACTTTCAAAGTAAATGAGCAAAATGATGTAATCGAAAAATGTAAGTTAACTGAATGGATGAAAACCAAGCCCCAACTATATGCTGCCCATAAGAGACTCACTATACACCTAAAGACACATACAAACTAAAAGAGAAAGGATAGAAAAAGATATTCCATGTAAACTGAAGTGAAAAAAAAAAAGCTGACATAGCAGTACTTATATTAGACAAAATAGACTTTTTTTAAAGATTTTATTTATTTATTTGACAGAGAGATAGAGAGAGAGCACAAGTAAAGAGTGGCAGGCAGAGGGAGAGGGAGAAGCAGGTTCTCTGCTGAGCAGGGAGCCGGATGTGGGGCTCGATCCCAGGACCCCAGAATCATGACCTGAGCTGAAGGCAGGTGCTTAACTGACTGAGCCACCCAGGTGCCCCAAGACAAAGTAGACTTTAAAACAAAACTGTATCAAAAGACAACAAAGGCACTAAATAATGATAAAGGGATCAATCCAGTAATAATGACTGTACCTATCTCTGCATCCAACATTTGAGCACCCAAATACATAAAGCAAATATTTGAAGACATAAAAGGAGATACTGACAATAATACAATAATAGTAAGGGACTTTAACACCCCACTTATATCAATGGGTAGATAATCCAAGCAGAAAAATCAATAAAGAAGCAATGGCTTTGAATGACACATTAGACCAGATGGACTTAAGATATACACAGAAAATTCCACCCCAAAACAACACAAGACACCTTCTTTTCAAGGGTCCCTGGAACATTCTCCAGGATAGATGTGTGAGGTCACAAAGCAGGTCCCAATAAATTTAGGAACATTGAAATCTTATCAAGCATCTCTATTTTCCAACTCCAATGGTATGAAACTAGAAATCAATTATAAGAAAAGGACTGGAAAAAAATACAAACACATGGAAGCTAAATAAAATGCTGCTAAACAACCAGTGAGTCAATGGAGAAATCAAACCGAAGGAGAAGTTTAAAACCTGAGACAA